CTACTTTAAGGTACAATACAGAGAGGAGAGGAGGGAGGTTTCACTGGGACAGTAATAGAGAGACGGGTTGCAGAGAGAGAACTCAGGTGAAGACTTTATGTCAAAGAAAGAGAATGAGCCAGGAGATTAGATTGCTTGAGTTAGTTTGAGGCCAAGCAGTATAATTCAGAGGCGGAGAGAAAAGCCAGATTGAATAAGTCAGTTGGGAGAGGAGTTTGAGTCACAACAGCTGAGCTGAACCAGCCAGCCCAGAGCTCAGAAAGAACAAGAAAGGGTAAGGTTATTTAACAGTAAGTCTCAGAGGATGAAAATATTCTAGGCCTAGGTTAGATTGTTTGGAGGCTAGAAGGTTTTTAGGACTAGGCCTAGGTTAGCTGACAGAGGCAGTAAGCCTCTGAGACAACAATTGAAGGAGGAGAATAAAAATCTTTTCGCAGGGTCCCTATGCCTTAATTAAGAAGAGAAGAACATATGTTTTTCAGACCTTATCACACGTGTTCTGCTATGCATGTTCCTTTCAGAGGTTAAATTATTTGCTGTGGGCTCAATATTATAATTTAGGTAATATTATTTCATTGTCTCACCAAGGTTTTGAGGAATTGTGCATATTCTCATAAAATGGTCTGGCCAATATTCATGTATTGAGGTCTGTTGACAATACTTGTCACTCCCTACCTCACACTGTATAGTTCTAGGAATAGAGAAGGGTGACGGAGAGCGTGTACAGGAAGTGTTATTTGATGCTTCTTTAGCTCTTTCAACATTAACGGAGCAAGACAAAATGACAATGATCCTCAAAGTTCTGTTCCACTGTTTCACAGTTAGGTTAGTCTGAGCTGTATTTCCTTAAGAACCCGTCAGGTTATTAAGCCTCATTGTGCTTCAGCTTGCTCTTCTGTAAGATATCCTACCTGCCTCTCAGGCAGCATCATCCAGACATAGAAACGCATACCATATAAGGGACTTCAGGAACAAAGCTCTGCGATCACCCAGTAGTCCTAATCAGTGCCACACTCCGCTCTCATTCCTGTAATTTTCAACTTCTCTATGTTATGCTTTAAAGACAATATTGAGGTAATATAAAGTCCCCTAACTTTTCTCAGCTAAATCCAGCTTTCCTTCACAGATATTCTAACCATCCTCTTTTATGTTTTGGCTGTGTTAAGAGATTCAAAAACAACAAAAACAACCAAAACCAAAATGAACAAGGAGGATGGGAATTCAAAATAGTCTTCCTTCAGTTGCCTAACAATCTTCTCCCTACAGAGTCAGCTCCATCAACTTTCCCTCAGCTTCTCAATGTTTCCTTCTCTCTGGATATCTGCTCAAACTTATCACCGAAAGGCCTTAAAACTATAGGCCTCACTCTCTTTCTCCGGATAGCCATTTGTTTGCACTCTATTATGGTAGACTATCTTTTTCTTAGTGATGTCTTCCCTGATCTGGGTGACCCCATGTCTTGTAAGGAGCATCACATAGCCCTCAGTAAAGATTACAAGCCAGACCCTTTCCCGATAAGGAAACCATTTCAGCTAGTTATCAATTCCTAGAAATGCCCACCCTGCTAAAGATCTTAGTCTTCAGCAGTGACCTTTAATTGTACTTAGAAAACACCCCCCCAACATCTCTAGGATAATTGAGTACTGTTTTCTCCTTCTTGTGATAGTACCATGCTACTGCATAGGAAATAACACACTGTACCACTACATGCAAGTCAACAATCCCTGACCCCTGACCCAAGTGAATCAAACTCATTCACCCTTGAAATCCCTCCCACTACCCAAGGTTTATAAATCCCTGAGTTCAAATAAACATGCTGACTGACTTTGTGATACCAGCCTTCCACCATGGCTATCGGAGATTTGTCATTTATCTCCTTCCAGACTGAATCTCATCCAGCCTGCCTTCTAGCCAACCAGGATGGGTTTTTGTCTGCACCTCTGCTGTAACACTTTGGTATTGCCATAGGCTTTGGAATGCTGAGTTTCCATTGCCACCAGTGACCTCATGCTAAAAGATCTAAATTGTAACACTGTGTGGAAAAACTTTTCCACGCCTGGCCAGCGCAGTTGGGCCTGACCCTAAAGTGTTCTTGCTGCCCCCGAGAGAAATGGAACCCCTTTTCTCTGCCAAGGAAAGAATGACAAACTATGTATTTGCATTTATTCTATTTTTAGAGTTTCTCTCTCTCTTTTGGTGACAGAGCCTCAATATAGCCCAAGGTGACCTGGAATTTGCTCCGTAGCCCACGCAGGCCTAGAGTCCACTATAGTCCTTCTGCTTCAGACTCCTGAATAATATTGCAGGCACGGGTCACCATGGCAGGTTCTACCTGTACTTTAAATACTGATTTTAATAATAAATTATAATGCCATTTATTTACTGGGTACAAGGGGATGCTTTGAAATGAACATACAATGTGGTAAGAGTAAATTGAGAAAGTATGTGTAAATACCCTCTCACCTCTCATGTTTTAAAATACACTTGAAATTTACTCTTTGTTTGCTTATTTGGGGGGTATACAGATTCTGTATATTCAACCCAAGTTTGCCTTGAGCACACTCTGTAGCGTGCTGGACTCAAACTCACAAGTAGTCTCTCTGCCTTAGCCTTCCATCTATTTGTGTTTCTAAATACGTAAACCATCAGCTGGGTGTTTAATCCAAGAATTCAGGAGGCAGAACCAAGCAGATCTCCATGCGTTTGAGGCCAGCCTGATTTACACAGTGGGTTCTAGGCCAGTCAGAGTTTCACAGTGAGATGTGTATCAAAAGCAAAGCAAATCAGTAACAACAAAAAAGCTATCATTATTCCCTTAGTCATTCTATGGTGCAGCTGATCTTGAGTCTTGTTCCTCCTATGTAAACCTTATATACTTTGATCGAGAACTCCTTACTCTTCCCTCTCTGTCATCTAGCTTCTGATAGCCATCATTTTCTGCTTTTCTTCTGAGTTCCATAATTGAGCTCAGGTAATATTTATCTTTCTTTGCAAGGCTGATATCATTCAGCAGTCTTCCAGATTCATCCGTGTTGTTACAAATGGCAGGACTTCACCCTTAGGTGGATAATATTTCCTGTATATGTTTATATTACATATTCTTCAGGCATTTATATTCATCCACTGATGGGCACATGGCTTGTTTCCGTGTCTTGGCTTCTTATAAACAATGCTGCAAAAGTGCTGGGATTACAGGTGTGAGCCACTGCACCTGGCCACACTTTTCTTAATTTTACATTCACTTTAATTTATAAACTTAAAACACACAAATCGTTTGTGTAAGAGAGAGAGAGAGAGAGAGAGACTGACTTAGAGTAACATGATGTCTTAATTCTTGCATACTTTATGCACCCAAAATTGCATGCCAATGGCTTTCATTCTCAGGGGAATATCATTGTACCTTCCAAACTTATACCAAACATCTCATTTTCCTTGTTCTAACATTATTCTTACTTTATATCTTGGTCTTTAACTTAGTCAGATATTCAATCCTTGGTTTTTATGTTTTTAAAACCTCTTCATTATTACACATTCCTTCTCTAAATGGCCCCATGATCACAAACTAGAATTTGACTTCCAACTACATTTTCTTCTTGAAACCTTTCTTCCCTAATTCACTTCTTACATTACTTTCTTTAAAAAAAGTATTATTTGTTAATGGGACACTATTTGGCATTTGGTAGAATTGCTAGAGTTGCTGTTTTAGCAACATTTAGCTTTCATAGTAACCCAGCCTTATTACATCTGCACACTTAGGTCTTTTAAATGGTCTCCCAACAACCTTTAGCCAGTTTTCCCCTTGTCAGTTGAAAATGGCTCAGTTTCCTTCTGAACTGCTCACTCTCATGACTCTTTATGCCGCCCTTCCTACACTTCCAGATATTTCCCCACGTTTGATTCTTCACCTAGCACCCTCTTTTGTACATGGTGGAACGTCAGTAGAATATCACTTCAGTAAAAGCAGTGAGGATAGGTCATTGTTGGTTCTGGGACCTAGAAAAGAACAACCGTTTCAGAGCCCTCTGTTACTGCAAGTATCCTATAGCACCTGTGCCGTGGTTTACCTTTTAGTGATCCCAGCGTGAAGGGACCTCAAAAGTAGGATTTATGAACCAAATCGAAACTCTCTCTACCCAGAATCCCCTGGGCTCATCCAGTGCTATCGTGCTAACCTTGTCCTATATTCCTCAGCTTTAGTTTACCGCAGCACAACGTCACAGCACAACGTTTCATGCAGCCTTGACGGGCGCACTAGCATGCTTTCTGATCAGCTCGCTCTGGGCCAGGCCCTCGGCCTTTCTGAGAAACTTATCCACATACGCTGCATTGAGGAAATACCTGCTCTCTGGGCTCCATGTGGTTGGTATGCACCTGAGCCATATTCTTCTGGTGGCGACAACCTACTATTTACCTTTCACCCTGGTAAAAACTGTAAAGCGTAATGAAGAGAAGCAACAGGAAGGGAGACAGATGTCTCAACGCAGCCTTTCATTTCTCTAAATAAGCACCTGTCCACGTCTAAAGCCGATGCTTCTTACAAGAGTGTCTTCCCTAAGGCTCTGTCTGGTGCAGGAGTCTCAGGACAGAGAAACAGAAAAGAAACCTAAAACCTACAGAGAGCAACAATGCTGGTGATTCTAAATAACACACCAAATGACCAGCACTGGTTAAGCGCCTCCTAAGTAAAAAGCGCTTTGCAAAGGCTTTAATTACATTTCTTATTAATCCTCAAAATATCCCTATGATATCTCTCTATCGTCACTTTTCAAGTGAGCCCATGGAGCTGAAGCTCGTCCCGGGTGTCTTATTAAAGATTACAGAACTAGATTGGCAGAGCTAGCCGCTTCTAAGAATAATACAAGAATAAAATACAGAACTCATCTTAAAAGGAAAAGATTTTAAACAAGTATTAATAGCTCTTCAAAATGGTGTCTAATTCTAGAAACACGTATATTGCTGATGTGAGTGTATGTTACGCATTGAAAAAGCAATGTACTTACTCTCTGTCAATCACAAGGCAGGTGACGGCCTCTGCAGCAATTACGTTTGCTGTTCTCACATCCTCCCTGCATAAAAAAAAAAAAAATAGACACATTAGAATGGAGCATCAGCTTTTAAGTCCAAAAAACAAAGTGACTATGGTGACTTTCATTCAGGCACCAAATTATATACCCTTTTCTTGATTTATCCACTTCATGGTTTAGGCTTCATGTGAAAAGCCACTTTACACATATTATAAATCACACATTCCCTTCAGCTAACACTCAGTTGTTACAATTATCAAATTTAAAGTTTCACTTGCACAAGTAGAAGAAAATTTTATAAGGTCATTTCCTTTGCCCTTTGGGGGAATTTCTGAATTAACTGCATGATGATAAAGATGGAAATGAATAGATTATAGCTTTTAAAGTCTTTAAAGACATACCTCTGGAAATGGAGTATCCAATTTATCTGCTATGGATTTGACATTGCATCTTTGAGATTAAAAGACCAGTTTTAAATATTTTCTTAATATAGTAACACAGCTTTTATGCACCTAAGGTTGAGATTCCATCTTATACCTATTAGAAACTCAAGTGACAATACATGCTGGAGAGGGTGTGGAGAAGAGGAAACCCTCCTCCATTGCTGGTAGAAGTGCAAACTTGTACAACCACTTTGGAAATCAATCTGGCACTTTCTCAGAAAATTGGGAATAGTTCTAACTTCAATGGAGGAATGGATACAGAAATTGTGGTACATTTACGCAATGGAACACTACTTAGCTATTAAAAATTTGCAGGCAAATGGATGAAACTAGAAGAGATCAACCTGAGTGAGGTAACCCAGAAACAGAAAGACAGGCTTGGTATACACTCTCTTATAAGTGGATAATAGACGTATAATATAGGACAGCCATCTACAGACCTAAAGAAGCTAAACACTAAAGAGGGCCCTAGAGAGGATGCTTACTTCTCTTTCAGAATGGAGACTTTACTGTACATAGTTATTCAGCTATCCTGAGCTCATGGTTCTTCAAGTATTTGAGAAATACTACTCACAGTGACTTAACTATATGAAGACTGTCTCTTGAAAAACACTTAATTTGTAACTATCTCAGGCAATGTCGATCTCCGAGACCTTTGAAATCTTTCCTGGTGCATCTCAAGTAAAGAAAGATGGATTTGGCAAATTCACAAGTTATTTTCAGCTGCCATAAACTTAATATTATCATTGTCAGAACATTAAATCACACCTGAGAGGGTATCCTCTTTTCTTATGATAACATTTCTAAGCCAATGTAATTAATGGAAAATATGCATGAACATATCACAGAAGTAATTGCATGAAAACATACTGGGTTCACATGTTTTTATACTACAAAACACAGTGCTCCACCCAAACCAAGCATCTGAAGTATTGAAAATAAAGTTGTTCCTAATGCATTGTTTGCTATTGAAGACACACAAAGTTCTGACACATTCCTAAGTTCTGTTATTTTTCCTGCTTTCCTGTCTTTCACTGTTCTATCATCTTGTTTGGGTTACAGTTGCTTAGCAGAAAGGGCATTTGGTATTTGGTAAACCAGAGCCAAATATTCTTCCACTAATATTATTTTTCAGGAATGCACTTGTGATATTCTTCAGCCTTCATTATTTGACACTGACCTAAAAAAATACATTTTTCTTCTTTTAAACAGGCCCACATTAGTGTGGGACCATAATAGTCCAGGGTTACGGAAGAAGGGTTGAGGAAGCTTCAACCCTGAATACCTCAAAGCAGGAGGGTGACAGGAGTAGGCTACCTCTCTACTTCCAACCTGGTGCCATAAATCCAGCTGCCTCACCATCAACCCTAGTGAGAATCTGTTACACTGACAATTATCAGGCTTCACTCCTGTTTGACATTATAAGGTTTTTCCCCAGGACCCTACAGCCCCAGGGTATGCATATGAAGGATCTTCCAGCATCCTAGCCCTGGCCAGTGGTACATGGCCACACAAACCTTGCCACCAGAGATCCAGACCACCTCCCTAGGGGCAAAACACCCTCTTTTCCCCTTCAAATAACCTGATCAGTTCTCCAAAGCTCTTCCTGGCTGGGTTCTTTGCACTGACCTCCACCTGAGAACCTGCGCTGGACTTAACTGTGCTGGCTGAGCTCCCTTCCCTGGCACATTAGGACTCTTGGAAAGATGGGCTGCATTAATACGCTGATCTCAGAAGCAACCGTTTCTGATATTAATGTTTTCCATGTAAGACTACAACATGACTTTCCATCACGGGAATCTACTTTTACGGTTTTAAGTGAGATTCTGGAGGTTTCCTCACCCGCACCTGATGTTTCATCAAGAGTATTCTGAGGTTCTCAACTCCACATCAGTTTCTCTTACATGCCTTTCCCATCCACATGTTACGGGTTGAACACTAAAGAAGAAAACTCTTCCTTGCTGTATATATATTTTTATTTTTTATTGATTTTCAAATGTTATTTATTCTTCTCTCATAGGATATATTCTGACCACAGCTTCCCCTTCTTCCATTCTTCCTAGTCCCTCCTTACCTCTCCTCTCCCAATATCCACCTCCTCAGTGCAACCCCCAAGAAAATAATTTAAATATACTCCCAATACAAACTTTTCCTCTGTCAGGAGTTGCTATTGTGAGCCTCTCACGCCTGTGTCACATTCTCTGCCTTACAGGGAACCTGGTCTCCTTTCAAAATTGACAAACATATCTTCTTTCCCTTGCCCAGTAGTCTTCGTAACATGCTGTCCTTAGGCTTAAGCAGCTTCTCTCCCCCATGCTTGTCCTTTGGATTCTATCCCTAGTGCCTTTTCCTAAGGTATGCTGTCCTGAATTAGCTAGTAGGCTTCCCTGTGTATCTGTTCTCAGCACCTTACATATCTCTGCATTGAAGTGGCTATCACTACTTAAAATTCACCTACTTACTTGTGTGCCCATTTGCTTAGGGACTCCTGCTAAGCCATATAAAAGCAGGGACCATGACTAGATTTACTCCTTAAAGCTGAAAATATAGGAGGGGCTTAGTATGTGTGTTACAAGAAACTCACGGGTTTTGCATTCCTGAGCCCTGTGGTGGTAGAGATCAGATGTCATTATCATTATTACCACCACCACTACCATCATCATCATCTACGCACATTAATGCCGTGGCCCCAGAAGCCAGGGCACTGAGTCCTCCTGGAACTGAAGTTTCAGGTAGTTTAGCCACCAGTGGGTACTAGGAATGGAACTGGGGTCTTTTGCAAGAGCACTATGTAGTCTTGATTGCTGATCCATTTGTCCAGTCCTAACTTCTGACTCCAGGGCCATAGGAACTTGCTATTAAACTAAGATCTACCAATCACAAGCTATAAAAGCCTCTCTTATGTAACCATGAGACCATTCAGTGTCACTCTTACCCAGTAACAAAGTGAGAACTGTACATGATATATTTTAACCCTATTATTATTTCCCTATTATTATTTTATATAAAAGGTGATTTGTGTGTGTGTGTGTGTTAAATAAACACAGCAGGCAGCAGCACATCATTTCCACAGGGCCTCTATAAGTTGTGAATAACTTTTTTTTTTTTTTACCATGTGTTTATAGCATCACAAGGTACTACAAATAATTCCTAGCCTTAAAACAACAATAATACTTTTATGTGTTTAGGAACACAGCCTTTAAAATCTACTTTTCCATATCTAGCTTCATCTTTACTATTTAAAAGGTTTCCTATTTAAACTATTTGTACTGGTACACTCCTGTAACTACAGTCTCCAAGCACTTGGAGGATGATCCTGAGGTCAAGGTCATCCTAAACCTATACTACACAGTGAGATCCTGTTATTCCTGCTATCTGCTGCCAAATAAATAAAAGCAGAAATTGCCGGTTTAGAAACATTTTAATCTTGACTATTAAGAAATTTAAAAAATAATATCAATGGTCAGGCTGACAAAAAGATCTGAGCCCAGGAGTCTGCAGAGAATGATGCACCAATGGAGGATCATGCATGGAGAGGACCTAGACCCCCTGCTCAGATGTGGCCACTCATTGGCAGCTCAGTCTGAATGTGGATCTCTGAGTGAGGGTATCGGGGCTGCCTCTATCATGAACTCAGTTGACTGCTCTTTGATTACTCGCCCCTGAGCCCCTGATGATGCAGCCTTGCCAGGCCACGAAGGAAGAGGATCAAGCAGTCCTGATGCGACTTAACAAGCTATGAGCAGATGGAATAGTGGAGAACTCCCCCTTTCAGTGGACTAGGGGAAGGGGATGAGGGAAAGAGGGAGGGAGGGTGGGACTGGGGGAGTTGAGGGAGGGGGCTTCAACCAGGCTATATAATGAATAAACTGAGAAGTAAAAAAATAAAATGGGATGGACATCAGAAGAGGGAGAAAACAGGGAACAGGACAGGAGCCTAGCACAGAGGGCCTCTGAAAGATTTTACCCAGCAGGGTATCAAAGCAGATGCTGGGACTTATAGCCAAACTTTGGGCAGAGTGCAGGGAATCTTATGAAAGAAGAGGGAGACAGAAAGACCTGGAGGCAACAGGAGCTCCATAAGGAGAGCAACAGAACCAAACAATCTGGGCACAGAGGTCTTTTCTGAGAGTGATACTCCAACCAAGGACCATGCATGGAGATAACCTAGAACCCATGCACAGATGTAGCTCATAGTAGCTCAGTCTCCAAGATGGTTCCCCAGTAATGGGAACAGGGACTGTCTCTGACATGCACTCAGGGGCTGGCTCTTTGATCACCTCCTGAAGGGGGAGCAGCCTTATCAGGCCACAGAGGAAGATAATGCAGTCAGTCCTGATAGACTAGGGTCAGATGGAAGGAGAGGAGCATGTCCCCTATTAGTGGACTTTGGGAGAGGCATGGGAGGTGATGAGGGAGGAAGGATGGGATTGGGAAGGAATGAGGGAGAGGGCTACAGCTGGGATATAAAGTGAATAAACTGTAATTAATAAAATAAATACATTTTTAAAAAACTAAAAAAATCTATATGTAAAAAGTATTTAATCCTGAATATAGTTTGTGCATATAAATTTTAATGAATTAATTACAAATATCCAA